ATCTCTGTTTCTGTGTTTGGGTAAACGTCTATGCGATCTGTCTGCTGAAGAGGAATTAGACCCGTACAACAGTGCAGATGGCATATCAGTTACATGGCCTTCAGAGTGGACAGTGCAATCACTTTCACTCCCATCACTCTGAGCTTCTTGTTCACTGTCACAACTCTGATCTGCATCAGAATTCTGCCAGTGTACAGAACCATGTCTGTTTTCATTCCTATCACCTTGAATCTGATTCTTTCTGTCAAGCTTGGCCAGGACAGTCTTTTCAAACTGTTCTGCCCAAGATTGCCAAGAATCTACAGGTGTTTTTTTAGAATTACTCACATCTTTTCTTACAGACTGTTTTATGAAAACCTGGTTTGGTGTGGGAAAATCATAATAAGGAGGGGATTTACAGATAGTCTTTTCTTGCATTTTTGTGCAACTTTTTGGCACAGAATGATGACTACCAACCTCACTGTCTAATTTCTGACTCTCCTTTTCATACTCATCCAATTGCATTTTAAGCTGATTTATTTCCTGTGCATATTTATCCATCAAAGCTTCCATTTCTTTTTCATGATCAGCCTGACGAGTTTTATGCTCAGCAAGTAAATCTTGGTATTTCCCATTTTGAATGCCCAAATCGTCACTGTACGTGTCCAATTTGGCATTCAATGACTTGTTTTCATCACACACCTTAAGAAGTGCTGTCATAAAGAAAGGCCAAGAGTGTATTATGAACGCCATTTTCCTTTCTATGTTCTTTTGTTCAGCAATTTCTTTAAGATATATGATGATGTGTTCATCAGTTAGAATGGTTTGTTTAGCTTCCCATTCTATGCTTTTCAACCAAACCTCATAGGTTGCATCATTTTTCATATGTTTATGAATATGAACTAGAGCATGTTTTCTTAGGTCTTCAATTATTTCAGTATTATCTGTTACAGATGTATTACTGGATTCAGCCATATTTCTATACAGTGATTTAATCTCAATACAAAACTCTTTTCTATATCAAGATTAAATTGCATGAATTACACCAATATTATTATTATATATGAAATACAATTTCAACTTAAACGATCTCAGCAGCGTGCCTCCAATATGTGGGGATATTTATGGGATAATAATAGTAAACAGTTGAGAATTGCCCACTAATTCAATTCTCAGATCCCAAAGAACGTTTATCGTGTTAAGTGGAATGTATTTCATATAATTAATATCACAATGTATAAAAATAGATTTTATTTATGATAACCAATAATTAACAAATAATATTATGTAACATGCATAACAATAATCAATGAATATCCAGTACAAAATTATATGCAATACAAAGAAATGGGTATTACGTTTCAATGGCTAACTAGCATTTTCTGTCAAGAATTCTGACGATTTATGAGGTATCCTTAACACAGGCTGAAAGTGAAACTTTTCACACAGAGAACAGAATTCCTCAGAGTGCAGCGTAAGGTCGTAAAGTTTAGCAGACAGTTAGAGTAACCCTTTCAATGCTGGCTAGATCTCCTAGGTAGTTAAGATCTATTCTTATGTAATTTTAAATAAAATAACATTTAACCCAGTTCATTAGCCATTTCCAGAAAACAATCCAATAAGAGAATCTACATATTATCTAAGCAGATTTTTAATTTGTCTAAAAGATATCTATCTTAATTTAGAGCAAATCAATACACCTGGATAAAAACAGCGGTATGCTAACACGTGATAATATCACATCAATATATAATTATTCTTAATTCCACCTGCAGAATGGAATGTTTATAACTATATATTCTTAGTTAACTAAGATTTCTTAATATGGAAATCTGACCGTGCTTTATCCAGTCATATATAATGCTATTAATACATTTTAATTAATTTAATTTAATTAAATGAAACCAGTATAATTACCAGTTGAGTAGATATTTCATCCGATTGGTAGCCTCAGGAACTTATTTGGATGTCTCTCTCTGCATGGAGGTTGGAATCCCCAAACTTCCAATTCCTCTCTCTTCTCCTTTGCATATCTTGCATCTGCCTCCTCTCGTCTATCTCCTGTATTTCTCTATCTTCCCTTTGTCTTAACTTTTAAAGGGCCAGACTCTCTGTACGTCATCAGTTGATAACCCAATAGAAGCACTAGAGGTGTGGTTATCTTCCAGATCGCAAATTAGTTATTTGGTCTGTAGAGGGCAGTCTTGTCCCACTAAACATACCTATCCAGGAAAGAGTTAACTTTTCCTGGTGGCTATTTTGACGTCATTTTGCGTTATCTTTATAGCGCCATAATTTAAAATTTCAAAGGGTTTCTTAAATTTTGTCCAGACTTAGCGTCTGCAATTCCTGCCATAATTTCTGATATGACAGATCATGAACTAAGTTTACCCTTTTCCATACAATGGTACCTTATATATATAGACAGTTAAATATTAAATTATTTAATCTTCTCTGTCACAATTGTCTGGGTTTAGATTTGATTATATTCTTCTAGCATTAGACAGTCTGTCCAACCCCCTTCCTTATCACTTGTTTATACTATGCATTCCTCAGCTCTGGGAAAGTGGTTAGCTTGCAGATAGAAATATAGTGTCTCTTTGTTAACTTGGAATAACAAAATGGAGTCTGGTCTGTTCAGAGTGACTCAGAATATACACTTTCATAGCACAAAATGTCTGCCGATATAAATACTCTGACAAGATATATATAGTGATATATATGTATGAGTCCATCTCTACACAGCTCCATATTGGCTGGTTTACAAAACAATAATGTGGCTTTATATTCTGTTTATAACACTCTTCCAACTTCTCTTTGGGCACTTATAGCCCTCCTATATTTGTGAGAAGTGAAGACCCAAGCTGGCTGAGTGTGATGGTATTTGCACTCTGCCAGACTGAAGTCCTGTCAAGGGCTCTATCCTGTTAGTGCAGAAGCACATCATGTATGGTGCCTACTGATACTTTGTATCAATTGCATTCCAGGCACAGTGTCAGAAAGTAGCAGGCAGAGGGAGATCCATCGGTACACACAGCACAGCAATACTAGCTTTGTGTTTACGGATCAAACAGCATAGTAATTGTGGGTGAAATTGCGTTCCACTGATCACCTAGCAACCAAATGGAACGCAGTACCTAGCGACTACGGTTGAAGCACTCTGATCAGCTGTTCCACGTGCAGTTTGAACGCCATTTCGGTTCTCTCACACATGAAGCTGGTTAGTATCCTTTTATGTTTTGCTATATAAGTATTTTATATGTATTTGTGTATTGTATTGCCATCCTGATGAAAGTCCATGTGTTGGGGCTGAAACGTCGATATTTTTAAATGATATAGAATAAAAAAAGTTATATTTTATTTTTACTATCAACAAGTCCTTGGAGAGCGGTCATTTCCAATCATTTTTTTGTATTTATGTATATAGATATATATATTATTTTGTTCTACGTGTATTTTGATATAAATATATATATATATATATTAATATCACAATACAGTTAGAACGAAATAACACACATCTATATATTTTTTATTATTTATTTATTATTTGTTTTTATTTTTTAACGTATTTACATATTTTTTTTATATATTATATATATATATATATATTTAATCAGTATCAGTCTACGTGTAATTTGATATTAATATATATATATATATATATATATATGTATATATATTAATAGTAAAATACACCTAGACAGTGTATGTGTGTATATATATATATATATATATATATATATATACATACACATACATACATATACATATATATATATATATATATGATCTAAGTATATAATTATTTTTTTTTACACTGATTTTATTTAATTTCCAGCCATAAGGGGGACTAACTGTCATTACAGGCAGTCCCCCTGCTGGCAATGCAGCAGCCAGCTAACCCGGCCATGTGATTGTGAGGATCCCAGGTGAGTCCCCCGACCTCGATTGCCGGCATGGGATCGGGACCGGGTAAGTAAGAAAAAGTGCGAGGGACTACTATTACACCCTGCGCTTAGAATAGGGCGTAATAGTACGCCCTTTGGTTTTAAGGGGTTAAATTTGAAATTCACTTTGAATTCCCGTCAAGTCTCACTTTAGTAAATAACATTGTCTATGAATGTATTATTTAGGTGCAGTTTTTAATTACCATTAAGTACGCATTGATTTCAAACTAGACAGAACACAGTTTGGGAAGGCTTAAAAGACTACTCCAAGCACCATGACCACTTCAGCTATTTGAGATAGGAGTCTGTATGCGGAGTGCTCCTGCTTAAAACACTGTAAATACTTAGTTATTGTTAATTGTCTCTTGGAGCACATGTTAAATAGGCAGCCCAGAACTCTGTTCTGTGATACCTAATTAAATAGGCAGCCCAGAACTCTGTTCTGTGATACCCCCGGCATACGTTAAATAGGCAGCCCAGAACTCTGTTCTGTGATACCTAATTAAATAGGCAGCCCAGAACTCTGTTCTGTGATACCCCGGCACACGTTAAATAGGCAGCCCAGAACTCTGTTTTGTGATACCTAATGTCAACCCTGTGCATATAAAAAAAATTGTGTGCTAGCTCTCCCTTCTCTCCCCCTTTACCATTGTGCATTCTCTCCTGCCGCCATCGCTGTCTCAGATTCTCTGCATGGGAAACGATCCAATCACAGGCTTTATTAAGGTAACTAAAAACCATTTTTACAAGTGTTATGTGGGGGGAACCCAAGAGCAATTCCCTACAGGGCATTATAAATGGGAAAATGGGCAGCTTGCATAAGGGTTGGAGTAACTGTTTAATGTGTCTGGGATGTCAGTGAGATCCCAAGTTCAGCTATTAGAAAACATTCCCATACCATGTATTGACTCATTTTGTAATGTATCACCGGATTCCCTGGAAACAATATAATTCATTTCTGAATGTACAAGATGATTCTGTTTTCATTTCTTTATTTCCAGACAATAAATAATATGAGAGACTGATATTCCACTTTTAAATAAGGATTTTATTATTTTATATCAGCACCATGTCGATTAACAATTAGTTTATTAAATAAGCAATTTATACAAACATACTCAGATAAGTATTTTTAGACATTAGACCTGCACAGTGCTGGCAAAGTAAGATCAGGTAGCACAAAGTTGATCTGTGGAAAATGGCTCCGTAAATAATTAGAGGCAGACTACTGTAACTGATTTGGGTGATTAGAAATAATAATAAATGAGGAAATATGGATCTTGAATAAGATGTTTTATCATTATGTCAAACACCCTGATTCTCCTCCTGAAACTGTCATCAAAACAAAACACTAAGCTCTCAATGACCACTATGCTAGCAACCTACTTTTCTACCCTACCCTTACCCTCTAGCATGTAAGCTCACTGAGCAGGGCACTCAATCCCTCTGTTCCTGTGCGTCCAACTTGTCCCGTTACAAATACGTGTCTGTTAGTCCACGCATTGTAAAGCGCTTTATAAATACTCCTACTAATAATAATGTGGTGGTTCCCAATCCAGTCCTCAAGGCCCACCATAATTCCAGAACCTATGTATTCCTCTGTTTTATTCCAATGGAAATACTGACAATACCTAAACTGTTGGGAGGTCTTGAGGACTGATTTGGGAACTACGCCCTAGTGTTCAGTTTTCACACAGTAATAAAACCAAAGTCCTAGTCATAGTTTTACTATGCAAAAATAAAGCAACATAGTATTTTTCAGAAAAAGAACAATCCTGTGAGTGTGCTCTCATTTGTAACATTGTGTGTTGGCTGGAGTTGTTAAGGTGCCAGGATGGTCCTGGTGCTTCCTTACCCGTAGGTATGAAACTGTTCGGTTGGCTCTCCAGTGCCATTCCTCACTGTCCCCATCCATTCCACATCCACTTTCAGAAATTCATCTTGAGGGAGCACAGACTGCTGCTGGCCATGGGCTCAACTGATTGGCTTAGAGCAGTCATTTACCTGGGTCCAGCGCGATGTCCCTCTGCACTGGCTCGGCCCCGCCTGCTCCCCTGCCAACGTCAGTCGGTGGGGGAGACCTAATGCGAATGCGCAGCAATGGTCACGCTCACGTTAGGATTTCCCCAAAGGAAAGCATTGTTTAATGCTTTCCTATGGGGATTCCGGTGATGCTGAAAGTTCTTATGCATAGTGTGAGGACATCCAGCGTCACTTTTGAGCCCAGAAGTCCCTCTAGACAGCGAATGCTGTATTAGGCTTATGTAATGTATGATCATATACTGTAACCAAACCCCCATTATATTTTGCCTAGGTGAGGTTTTTTAAATGAAACTATTCTGTGAGACTTGAAATTGCTGTTTAGTGGATGAGTGAGTGTACTGGATGGTGTGTGTGTATATGTATGTATGTATATATATATATACACACACACACACACACACGCAATTGGCAAGTGAAATTTCACGCCTAGTGATGGCGGGTCATTTCCTCCCAGCCCTACTCCGTGCGAGCGGTGAGACAGCCGAGCAGAGGAGAGGCATCCGTTCCCATCATCCCCAGCCACCCTCCTGCAACTTAAAGGTAAGGAAGAGGAGGGTGGCTGAAAAATGAGGTGTATGTCTTTATGTGTGTGTGTATGTATATCAGAATGTATGTATGTCTGTTTGTGTATGTTTGTTTTGCCAGTTTCATACACTCTTTAAGGTCTCTTGTACCATATTCCACTGTCACTTAAAAGATTAGTTATACGAAGACATGAAAGCCCCTCATTATTACTATACAAATATCTTGACCTATGTTGTAAAAAGAAAAATAAATATAGCTTGTCCCCTGTTTTATGAATTTCTAATGCCATTCTCCCTGTAAAAACTACCCTTGTTCAGGAAGAAGTATCTTTCTTTTGATTCTGGCACCGTAAAATATGAAACTGCAAAATGCCACCTGACTGTTTAATCGTTCTGTTATGTTCATTTACTGAACAGTGAGTTTGCAGTGAGTATGTGCTATGTGTATGAGTACATCAATATATCAAACAAAAAAAAACCTTCCTGTATTTTAGAGCCTCCATTAAAGGGACACTATAGTCACCAAAACAACTTTAGCTTAATGAGACAGTTTTGGTGTCTAGATCATGCCCCTAAAGTCTCACTGCTCAATTCTGTGTGAGTATTATAGAGCCCCTATTAATGCACAATATGTTAGTGTATTATAGAGCCCCTATCAATGCACAGTATGTGGGTGTATTATAGAGCCCCTATTAATGCACAATATGTTAGTGTATTATAGAGCCCCTATCAATGCACAGTATGTGGGTGTATCATAGAGCCCCTATTAATGCACAATATGTTAGTGTATTATAGAGCCCCTATCAATGCACAGTATGTAAGTGTATTATAGAGCCTCCATTAGTGCACAGTATGTGGGTGTATTATAGAGCCTCCATTAGTGCACAGTATGTGGGTGTATTATAGAGCCTCCATTAGTGCACAGTATGTGGGTGTATTATAGAGCCTCCATTAGTGCACAGTATGTGGGTGTATTATAGAGCCTCCATTAGTGCACAGTATGTAAGTGTATTATAGAGCCCCTATCAATGCACAGTGTTTGAGTGTATTTTAGAGCCCTCATTACTGCAGTGTGTATGAGTGTATTATAGAGCGGCGAGCACCCATTAATTCACAGTGTTTATTATAGAGTATCACTGTATGATATAGAATAAATATGAATGTACAAAGCTAAACAGAAATACACTGTGATCATACGTGTACATCAGGATTCTGGCAATGCACCACAGTAATGCATCGTGCATTGTGTGTGAGTACAGCAAAGTTTATTACAGAGCACCACGGTAATAATATGCACTGTGCATGAGTATATCATAGTGTTCCTCAGTGACATGTGACAGTGTTTTATTCTATAAAGACAGGTTGTGTGAGACTGGCCTGGCCGGATATGGCTGGGGAGCAGTGTTCACCTGCACTCTATTCTGAAGTAATATGGAAGAAGTTCAATGAGGAGGAGGCTCTAAGTCAGAGTGCAGGCAAATGGCCTCTAGCAAGGTAAGAGCCTGCACAGACAGCCATGTAATGAGACAACAAGGGGAGATGGGAGATTAGTACGTGAGGAGGGATGGAGTGAAGAAGTTAGGTGTTGTGGGAGATATATAAGTAGGGGACGGGGAGACCAGGAAAGTATAATTTGAAAAACACATTGAGACCCCTCCAGACAGAACACATTTCATACTAATATCCTCTATATCGTAAGAATAACCACTCAAATACCCGCTACATCCTCACAAATACACACAGGGTTATTCATAGTGAATTTAAAATTTTAGGTCAATGTTGAAGCATAGTTAATTTTACAATTCAACTATTTTGGCCTGAAATTCATATTGAATGCACTATGCATTCTCACTGTAGAGCAACGTTTCCCAATTGGTGTTCAGTGGAACCCTGGGGTTCCGTGAGAACACAAATGGGGTTCCGCCAAAATTTTGTAAAACAAAATGACCGCAGGCAGCGAGGGAGAACTCAGCTCAGCTCCCTTGCGCACCCAGCAGTGATGCCGGAGCCGGAATATGATGTTACTCTGGCTCCTGCATCACTAAAAGGCGCGCAAGGGAGCTGAGCAGGGAAATCACTGCTCCCTCACAGCCTGCACGCCAGCCGCTCAGCAGTCCCACTGGACCCCACGGACCGTCCGCCACTTGCTCAGAAGACCCACTGGACCCCACGTACCGCCCACCACTTGCTCAGCAGCCCCACTGGACCCCAGGGACTGCATGCCAGCCGCTCAGCAGCCACACTGGACCCTAGGAACCGCACGACACTTGCTCAGCAGCCCCACTGGACCCCAGGGACTGCACGCCAGCTGCTCAGAAGCCCCACTAGACCCCTGGGACTGTACGCCCATCCCAGCAGCCCCACTGGACCACAGAGACATAGAGACTCCATGCCAGCACTCCCAAAGATAGGGAGGCTGGGTGGAATAAAATGTAAAAATAATAATTTGTATGTGAGTACACTCTGTCAAAGGGTTCCACGGGAAAAATTAATTGGGAACCCCTGCCGTAGAGTATAACCCTGACAGGGTTCATATCAGCTGGTAAGTTCTTTTCATAGAAAATAATGAGAGTTGCCAGTGATTGGGTTTTAAGCAGCGGTAGCCAATAACATTTGCTAAGTTTGTCCCTAAGTTTATTTGAGCTACAGACCATTTGTTTCCCATTTAACTCCCTAAATTCCAGGTGGCAGAAGCACAAATGCACAGTAAAATTGGCCGTGAAAAAAAATGATATTTTTTCCAACAACAATTATGCAGCACGCTACTTAGTGCCACATCAAAGGAAAGGCAATTAAACACAGATTGCAACAATAATAAAATATTACTCCTAATTAGAATTGGATATACTACCTCCCACACAAATGGAGTTCTCAAGGATCATTGGAACCTGTGGCATGCATGAAATGTGAAGTCAAAACATGCAATGCTGCTAGACTCAAACAGGCCTTCTGCTGGTTAAAGGATCTCCCTAGCGGGACTAGAGTATTCCTCTGCAGCACAAGGCAGCTTGAGGTATGTACCTTTGCCTCTATGTCTTTTTTTAGTGATCCAGTGCATTGTGGCTGGTTACCATGACAATGATTTGACTAACTTAAAAGCATCACACCAGAGGGAGAGGTACGCGTGGTCTGTGCCTGCCTGAGGTACAGACCACTGTATCCACCTACTAGACCACCAAGGTTTATCACATAGTCATGCCCCTCTCTCTTGCCAAGGGTAAGCAAGAGGGAGGAGAGCACAAAAAAATATATAACTTGTCCCTGCCAACAGTGTCACAATAAAAAAAGCCCCTCCCAACACAAACACCAGCATAAACCATCCAACACACACACACACATATAGAACATCACAAACAGCCCACATATATACACACAACACCAGTTGTAAGCTACAGAGTGTAACAAAGCATGCAATGTAGCAATTCTACTTGATTAGTTAGAAAATATAAATATGAATGTGTGAATGTGCCTGTCACCTAAAATCACTACAAGAGATGATAAATTCTATAAAATTGTAACATGCAGCTTAATTGTGCCTAGACTTGTCTATAGTAGTAGAGGGGGCAGTTGATTATAACTAATACGTCAAAATTTGTATATATCTCTAGTAAGTCTTCAAGTCAATGTGACATTTAGAAGTTGCTGATGAAGGTAAAAAGTAAAAAAAAACAAAAAAACAGTTGAGATCCACTGATCTATGGCCTATGATCTGAACCACAGAGGGTTATTCACTATATAACCCCAAAGTAGCCAAACTGAAATCACATCTGACTTAGTTAAGCCAAACTGGAAAATTTATCTTGGTAAGCTATGCTTTCAGTTTGGCTACTTTGGCCTTAATCTTGAAATTCTCTTTGACAGTATGTTTCAGGATCTGCCTACATGTAGCCACATGAACCAGGGTCAGAGGACTAATTCTCGGATTTTAAATGTAGTTACGTTGGTTTAAGTTGCATTCCAATGTAGATTCAGTTTTGAAAAAGGCAGTGTAGATAAAAATATTGCCACGGAATAATAGTCGTTCAAGAAATATCATTAAATCACACTGATCTCCCTCGGAATGCTTCATATAATGACTAGGAATATGTAGAGAATGTTGGAAACGTAACTAAAAGCAAAAAAATAAATAACTCTTGGAAATCCCACAAATATGAGGTATAAATTATGCATGAAAAGGAGTGGTAAAATCCACTTGGAAGTACGTCTTTAGTAGATACAATAGACACCTTATTAATATATATATATTTATTTATTTTAAATACATTTCTAAACACAAATACACACACCAGTCAAGCCATAAGACTTGCTTTTCCCACAGAAATCTCACTACTGCAAGGGATTCTGGGTAGGCGTATGCAAATTATCTCAACAAAGAACCAAATTTTTGCCTCAAAATTCCACTTTATACGTGGATTCCTTGGAGTACGTGTCTGCTGTATACAACAGCTTTGAAACACAACTCAGGAAGAGCAGCAAAACCAGTGAACCACTCATAGACAGCTGTTTCGTTGTTAATGTTACTGGCTTGCTATGGAGGCTTGGCGTTACTGGTAAAGTACATACCAACAGAGTTGTGGTGGGGGAAAAAGTGTGGATGAAAACCCCTTCCACCTGAAGTGGATAGTTAATACATTCCTATGGCTTGACTGGTGTGTGTATTTGTGTTTAGCAATGTATTAACTATCCACTTACTTCAGGTGGAAGGGGTTTTCATACCTTCTTTTTTCCCTAACACAACTCTGTTATAGAATAATATAATTATATAGAATTAATATAATTCTAGTGTCTGTTGTTGCTACTTTTAATGAAATGTGGGCAGGAATTTTTTTAATCAGGCTCATGCTCTTCATTAAACTACCAGCACTAAATGGTTTTCTGTGTTCCAAGTAAAACTGTATTTACATATTTATTAAAATTTGCTTTAATACATATTATGCTACAATTAAAGGGACACCATAGGCACCTGAACAACTTTAGCTTATTTGAGCAATCTTGGTGTATAGATCATGCCCCTGTAGTCTCACTGCTCAATTTTCTGCTATTTATGAGTTAAATCACGTTGTTTATGCAGCCCTGGTCACACCTCTCCGCATGTGACTTACACAGCCTTCCTAAACACTTCCAGTAAAGAGAGATCTAATGTTTAAACTTCCTTTTTTGCATATTCTGTTTAATTTAGAGTTTCTTATCTCCTACTCTGCAAAGAGCCTTCTAAACTCTGCAGGAGACTCCTGTGTGTGATTAAAGTTAAATTTACAGAGCAGGAGATAAGCTTCTAAAGCAAATTAACGTTGAGTTCATGCAGCCTGCGTGAGTAACAGCCAGGGGAGGTGTGCAAGTGCAGCATGGACAGAAACCAAAGTGATTTTAAATCCAAAATGGCAGAGAAATCAGCAGTGAGATTGCAAGTTGTTCTTGTGCCTGTAGTGTCCTTTAAGGAATAAGTAACCAAGCAAATTTCACATAAATAACCTGGGTCCCTCTCAAAAAATGTAAAGAATCATTGTGCTAGTGCATAACACACAAGCTAAAACATAGGTGTTCTGATCCCTGATATACAAATAGTAACTGTAACGCAGAGAGGATGATACCACATTAGTAGCCTCCTGTCTGTTCTGTTATGTATTATCTGTCTCTGTCTGTCAGACAGCAGTGCCTCGATCCAGTTCATTGATCAGAGCAGAATGAGTTCGGAATATGTCTTGTCTTGTTGGTGATTGGTCAATTGATGACTTTTCACTCATTTTCTCCTTGTTTTCTAGTCCGCTTGACCTAAAATCTCAGAACACATCAAATGATACAATTATTTGTTTTAATTAATCAAACGTCCATTATAATCTCTTATATTCTCTCTAAAATGTCTGCCTCGGATCTATGCAACATTAATATATATTGCTTGGAAGCCACTATAAAATCGTTTACTAAAGGTGATCTATCACTTTCCGAGTATTAGCACAACTAAGTAAAAGGTAGCTATAGGTTGTGCTAAAAATTTTTTAAATTCTCTGTTTTCTTTTATTTTCAAGTATATGTTTTGCTGTGCCTAAACAATACAGCATGTACTTACCTGTTGCGTTCCAGCAACTAGGCCGAGTTTTCACGTTAACTGATACTCCAGTAAGGTGACTCCTTTTTCCTGGACGGGGAGGGATGTCAGAGAGGATTGGTGGAGGTGAAGACATGGGTTGCACGGGGGAACCAGTGCCACCATTGGTCATTCTGAGGCTCTAATGATGCTGCTGTAAGTGGGGTTACACCTCCAGCAGCAAAGGGCAATTATTCCTCTGTATGTGCAGCGTTTCAAAGTGAAACACTACAAAGACAGGCTCCAAGCACCATGACCACTTCAAAACACTGAAGGGGTTATGGTGCTTGGAGTAACCCTTTAACTCTAGCAGTGCCGTGAGTAAGCATGACGCATGCACACATACAGTACTGCTTGAGAAAATGCCAAGTGTGCATGCATGCATAAGACAATTCTCAGTTAGAATAGGTGCGCGCAATCACTGCATCATGAGAAGGCTAAAGTGTATAAGCTTTTTACTGATATCCACTGCATTATTCACCCCAGAAAACACTGAAATTGTGTGTATTGAGGTAAAGGAATCAGGAACTCTCACTTCTAATTTACTCTCACTTCACAACTTACACCCTATATGGTAGTGAATTAGGGATAACCACACACGAGAAGGATTTGGGAATTGTTATAGACAACAAATTAGGCAGCAATATGCAATGTCAATCTGCAGTTGCTAAGGCCAGTAAGGTTTTATCATGTATAAATAGGGGCATAAATTCTCAGGATGAAAATATAATTTTGCCTCTGTATAAGTCGCTGGTAAGACCACACCTTGAATATGCTGTGCTATTTTGGGCACCTGTTCTAAAGAAAGATATCATGGCACTAGAAAAAGTGCAGAGGAGCTACAAAATTGATAAAAGGAATGGAGCATTTTAGTTACGAAGAAAAGTAAAAAAATGTAAATCTGTTTAGTTTGGACAGAGGGGATATGATAACATTATACAAATATATTTGGGGCCAGTACAAACCATTATCTGGAAATCTATTCATAAACAGGGCAATACATGGGACACGAGGTCACACATTTAGGCTGGAAGAAAGGAGATTTCATCTAAGGCAAAGAAAATGTTTTTTTTACAGTAAGAGCAATAAGGAAATTGAATTCTATGCCTGAAGATTTGGTTTTATCAGGGCCCATACAGATGTTTAACCCCTTAAGGACCAAACTTCTGGAATAAAAGGGAATCATGACATGTCACACATGTCATGTGTCCTTAAGGGGTTAAACAGCAATTGGATAAATACTTGCAAAAATATAACATACAGGGATATAATTTCTAATTAGTGGGGTAATAGCTGCTTGATCCAAGGAGACATCTGACTGCTATTTTGGGGTCAAGAAGTAATTTTTCCTAGTTTGTTGCAAAATTGGTGATTCAGACTGGGTTTTTTGCCTTCTTTTGGATCAACAGCAAAAACATATGTGAGGAAGACTGAACTTGATGGACGCAAATTTATTTTCAGCAATGTAACTATGTAACTATGGAAGGGAGTTCTGCTTTAAGCACTGTGGTTTAGAATCGAAGAATAGATGACCTCTCTAGCTTTTACAAAATGTTCTGTATTGCAGCAGACTGAGATAAAGTGTTAAAACAACATATTTATTTTCTTATATTAAATTGTGCAGAATATTTCACTTTAAAATTCCCTAGTGAAAAATGAGAGTGATTTTTATTTACTCAAACAATGTACAGCTCATCTAAGTGCCTTGTCAGCAGTGCTAGAAAAGTGATGTTAACTGCCACTTTTTTCTCAAGCTAGGGTCAGGCTGTGAACTGATAAAGGGTAAAAGCTTGAGAATACCCAAAAGATTAATCACAGAAAGAGATCACCCTTGCTTTTTTTTTTTTTTTTTTTACAAGTTACGGTTCATTTTAAACCATGTTGTTACTTATGAATCTCTTCATAATAGTGCCCATATATATAAATCCTCACTAATAAAAATGTCCCATATTGGCTCCTGTTCTAGGAAAAAGACCAGCACATTCAAGACTCAGTTCTCCATGGCTGCACAGGTTCTATGGAGATCCTTTCCCTGTCCCTTTACATTCTCTCCAAGTCTTAAAGGGACAGTCCACTACCCCATTAAAAACATGCATGCATTTAATAATGGACTTTTACATTTTGGAAAAAAATGGTCACAATGTCTGCAGCCTTTGTAAGTCCTCCGATTCTAACTCGGCTTAGACTTTCTGTGGTTGTCCAATCACTGGGCAGTGTTACACCTCTTGAGTTTAGCTCCACTGAGAGAAACAACCTAATAAACCAGGGTCCTGGTGCAAGAATGTTTCTTGGGCCTCCTCCAGTGCAAGAGTGACCAAGAGGTATATCCCCATCTGTTCTAAAACTCCAATAATGCTATGCCAACTGGGGATATACCAGTTGGCCATCCTTGCAGGGTTGGATTTCTAAGTAGTGTTTGTGGGATTTAATGTAAACATGTTTTTGTATAAAGTATGTGTGTACATGTAGTGGTGTATTTGTATGTACTTTAGCCATTATAGTGCAGTGGTGTACTTGTGTGTATGTGTGTAGTGTTGGCATTTAAATGGAGGTGTGCTTTTGTGTGTAGTGTTGGTGTTTGAATGAATGGATGTTTGTATATAATTTTAGTGTTTTAATACAGGGGTGTGTTTGTATATAATGTTGGCATTTCAATGTGGATGTACATTTGTGTGTAGTATTGGTATATGAGTGAAGTGGTGTGTTTGTATATCATTTTGGAGTATAAATAAATGCAGGGGTGTGTTTGTATGTAATTTTTTTTGTTATATTGCAGGACTGTGTTTGCATCTTGTGTTGGTACTGTTTTTCAGATATCCCTTACGCATATCAGACCCATGACGCGTATCTAGCTATCTATCTATCTGTCTGTCTGTCTGTCTGTCTGTCTATCGATCTATCTGTCACACAGAACATGCCTTGCTTGTAAATACATCTTTATATTGACTTGTGGGACTCCTATTTAAAAAGTGGACATTATAGGGTTATTATTACATGGTCTAGTATCTTAAAGGGACACTCCAGGCACCCAGACCACTTCTGCCCATTTGAGTGGTCTGGGTGATAACTCCCACTACCCTTAACCCTGCCAGTGTAATTATTGCAGTTTTCATAAACTGCAATATTTACCTTGCAGGGTTAACTCTAGTAGACAGCCACTAGAGGGCACTTCCGTGTTTATAGCACATGAAAAGTGTGCTGGATGTCCTCACGCTATCTGAGGACCTCCAGCGTCGCTGAAATCCCCATAGGAAAGAAATGAAAGCATTTTTCAATGCTTTCCTATGGGGAGGTCTAATGCACGTGCGCGTCATTGCCGGATGACGTCGGCGGGGGAGGAGCGTGGGTGAACCCTGACCCAGCCCCGAGGGACATCGGCGCTGGATACAGGTAAGTCACTGAAGGGGTTTTAACCCCTTCAGCAACTTGGGATGGGGGGTTGGAGGGAGAGGGGACTGGCAGTGCCAGGAAAACGGTTTGTTTTCCTGGCACTGGAGAGTCCCTTTAATGTGATACAATAGGCACCCAGACCACTTAATTTGATTGAAGTGGTCTGGGTGCAGTGTCCCTGTCCCCTTAACCATACATGAAAAACATTGCAATTTCTGCGAAACATTTACATTGCACGGTTAAGTCCACTTGTAGTGTTTATCTCCTAGACAGCCACTAGAGCTGTTTCCTGGTGCTTATTGGATAGTGATATCGTCTCAAACATTATATACTCTATGTTATGCTAAAATGTCCTATTCTTTATCACCTCAAACATTCTATTCAAAGAAAACAATGAATTGTTTTCTTTTAAAACATACCTGGGACCCCACAGGAAGAGCAATCTGCGTTACTCTGTGAATATCGGAAATTATATTTATAGACCAGTGGACTATGTTGTGGAAAGTCTGATTTACAGACCAATGTTGGGGTGCGAGGAACTTGGTGTGAGTTTTGACGTACTCCATCTACTCACTTCTTTTTAAATAGCTTACGGAAGGAGCTCCGGAAACCACCCTTCTGATCTGACCTCGGGTGGTGCTCACTGAAAGATGTTTGTTCAGTTTCATCCTTTTGGTAAAAT